GCCCCGCCCCGCCCTCCGCCCTCGGCGCCGCCGCACTGCATGCTGGGGGTCGTAGTTCCGGCTGGCAGCGACCTGAGGGACGAAAGGGCACAGGAGGCCAGCCCGCCCCTTTTCTACCGGAGGTCGCGTTCCTGGGCTGCTCCCTTCGTGCTCTCGGGCGGAGCCTTCCGTGAGCACCGTCGGACTTGTCTGTGCCACCGTCTCTCCTCTGGGTCTCAATAAAGTTTTCCTCTTCCTTCTCTTGTACGGAGCTCAAGATGGCGGCCTCCTGGCCGCCCTTGGTTACCCTGCGATTAGTGCAGAGCCGGTTGAGGGGGAGATGTGTTGGGTGCGGAGCCTGGGCCGCCGCTCTAACCCCTCCGGCCACCGCCCCTGGGAGCCCCTTTTGGAAAGGTCAGTGACGGTGCGTAGGACCAGGGAAACTCCCTCCTGGTGTCACGGGGAGCGAGCCCGCGAGGGGTTAGCTTCAGCCTCTCGTTCTCGTGTTGCTGCTGCACCGAGGGAGCTGGCCCAGGCTGGCACTTGGAGGGTCAGGGGTCCGGCCAGCGCCTGTTCCCTCCCGGCTGTTGGAGAGCGGAGGCCTGGCGAGCCCGGCGTGGACGGGCCTGGCTGCGGGGGGTGCCGGTGTGGGGCTGAGACGGCGCCTCCCTCCCCCCTCCCGCCGGCGCCTCCCCGCGCTGCCCGGGCTGGTGGCCAGACGCGGGTCCAGAAGCCACGCCGGGGACCCTGGGGCACCTCTGGTTCTTCCGCACGCATTCGCAGGTGGAGGGGTAGATGCTTTGGTTCCGTTCAAGTCACTAGAGGCGTGGAGTATATGCTGTCACCTGGCTTGCTCCATTCATTTACATGTTACGGGTTCATGAATGAATGCACATACATATTTTTTTCTAAATATATTTTTGTTGTTTTCAGAGAGGGAGAGGGGGAGAGAGAGAAACATCAATGATGGGAATCACGGATCGGCTGCCTCCTGCGTGGGCCACACTGGGGATGAGCCCGCAACCGGGCCTGTGCCCTGACCCGGAATTAAACCATGACGACCCGGTTTTTAGGTTGACATTCAACCACTGAACTACACCGGCCGGTCAGAATGCACATGTATTTTGATAACCAAACCCACGGGAGAGCTAACTTTACTGTTGTATTCGTATGCTCCCACTAAACTGGGGCTCTTCACCGCAAGGACTAGGTGTCATTGTTTCCTCAGCTCTTAGCACAATGTTTGTTGGGCAGATGTGCTTTTTGAATGAATGAATGAATGACGTTATTTTTGCCTTTTCCATCCACATACTTATGCTTTTTCTCACCTTCAAGCACCCTCTCTTATATATCTTAATTGACTCTCAACTGGCTAAAATAGCTAAAACTCTGATGCAGTCTTTGACTATGATGGTCAGTAGTGTTGAAATGAGTACTAGAACTATGGAAGTCACCTAAGGTTTTTCTGCAGAGTTAAGCATAATCCGCTTTATAATGGAATATTTTTATAGAGACATTCTGTATCTATACAAACATATGTATATAAATATCAGTATTAAAAAAATAGAAGTGTGTCCTGGCTGTTGTGGCGCAGTTGAGCGTATTCTCATGCACCAAGAGGCCGCCCAAGCCCTATCCAGTTTGGCTCAGTGGCTAGAGTGTTAGTTAAGGGCACGCACGTGCGGGTTGCTGCTTGGGGGAGCATGCAGGAGGCAACCCATCAGTGTGTCTCTGTCTCTTCCCCTCCTTTCCACTCTCTAAAAATCAATAGTAAAATATCCTCAGGTGAGGATTAACAAACAAACAAACAGAAAAGGCTGCCAGTTAGATTCCTGGTCAGGGCATATGGGTGGGCTTGATCCCCAGTGGGGGGCAGGCAGGAGGCAGTCCATCTATGTTTCTCTCTCACATAGATGTTTCCCTCCCTGCCTCCCTCCCTTAAGCCAATAAAAACATAATTTAAAAAAAGAAGTGGACATACTGTACACATTGTTCTGTTCCTTTTATTTTTTAAATTTAGTATATCTTGGGAGATCATTCCATGTCAATAAGTATAGAATTGTTTCATGTTTTAAATGGTTAAAATAGAATTTCATTCTTTGCATGTAATCATAATTTATGAAAAGTAAGATTTAATGAACATTATCATAATGACATATAAGATCTACTGAGTATTCTGTGTCATGCAATAAGCTGAGTGCTTTTTACATACATTATCTCATCTAATTCTTATTATCCTCAATTTGGGGTTGATGAATCCAAGGTTGCAAAAGTTATAAGGCTAATTAAATGCCAGAACTTGTGGGTTCAAGTAAAGGCTATATAGTAAAGGCTATACTTAGACTTTCATTTGACCCTAAAAGCTATGCTATTATCCTGTACTCATATTACCTCCTATAATCAAAATTAAACTGAGTGTGGAGATTTTATGAAAATGCAGTTCTGAAGATGTTCCCATCCCCTTTTTAAACCAAAGGAAAATTTAAGTTGAAATGTTATTTAGTATTTATACTCTCATTTACAATTTTTCTATGCATTTTCAATTATTTTGGTTATTTATTGTTTATATTTTATCTACATTTTTTTCATCTTTTCAAGTCTACTATTGACTACAGTGTAATGTGAGGGGAGCATTGCTTTAAAGTTAAAACAAAGACATAGATAAAGGAAAAGAAAGAGGGAAAAGAAAGAGCATGGTTTTTATGCCTCATCTCAGCTTTAATGCCAGCTGTGGCTCCAAGCCATGTTGGAAACTGGAACTATAAAAACTTCAGGGGTCCTAAAATGCTCTTCATCCAAATCACCTACTTGATTGCCTAACTTTAAACTTTGTAGGAAATAATAGCATTATGAATTCCATTTTGGGATGTGTGTATTTCCATTACTAAGATTATTAAAAATTTGAAAGTGAAATTCCTAATTATATAGTTTAAATATATATGCTTAATTTTGATTTCACTATCCGTTTTCTTTTAGGTCTAAATGTATCTCCATTTAATGTAACAGTTATTCAACCTCCAGGTAGTTAAGGAGAAGCATTTATTAGGAATTAGAGTAGCCGTAGTATGGATGTTAAATGCTGGAAAATTGCTAATTCAATTGAAGCCTGGTATTAAGTGTGTGTCTGTGAGAAAGTGAATGAAATTTAGTTCCAGCCCTTGAATAGCTCATAGTCTTGGAAGGGAGATGAAATTACAATAGTTAACATTTATTGAGCCCTTTCTTTGTTCCAGGCAGTCTGCTAGCAGTTTCTTTCTCTCATAATTTAATCTTCATAAAAACTAGATATATAAAATTATCTCTATTTCATAAATGAATAATCAGGTATGGCTACCCAGCTGGGATTTGAACCCAGGCATTCTTGCTTCAGAATCACAAACTTAACCACTAAGTTCTATTAGCTCCTTATCATAACAATGAATAATAATAACAGCATGAGCTAGGCTCACCTGAAGTGTTGTAGGACTACAGAGAAAGCAGCTCTGCTTGGAGCTGGGAGGGTTTCTTAAGCAAAAGCTCAGTGGGATGCTGTTGGAGGTTTCTTAAGAAATGAAGTGATCAGATCGGTTTTAGCATGATTAGTCTTGTGGCAGCCTGAAAAACAGATCAGGATGTGGCTGGGGGAATACTGAAAGCTGTAGTGCAACCATAGTAAAACAAAGACTTATATTTTTGATATTTATGTTATATATTTAAATGTCATTTAACAAAGAAAAATCAACCAAAAAAATGAGTTTGCGTGTCATCTCTGACACGCGTGTCATAGGTTCGCCATCACTGGTATAGGGTCTGAATTACTGCCGTGGTGAAGATGGAGATCAGGGCAGCAAGGGGGGAATTCGGAGACACTGCTTTGGTAGAATTGACAGACTTTGGGGGAAACAGGGAAAGACAGGAATTAAGATCAACTTAGGTTTCCTAGTTTGGGTAATTTAATGGCATTGCCATCTATCTGTCAAGGAAAACAAAACAAACAAAAAGTAAGGCCAGGGGCATTTTAGGGGGGAGATCCCATTTTGAATTTGTTAAATTTGAGGTGTTTATGATGATTGCAGGTAAATAAGTCTAATTAGTTCTAGGAAATGTGGGTAGCTTAGATTTAAAAAAGGAAATGTGAGATGTTGAGAGCCATGAGAATGGAAGAACTAGCCTGGGAATATTTGTAGAGTGAAAGGAGAAGAGGCAGAGGAGAAGTCCTTGTGAAAACGGACATGAGCAGAAGAATGTGACCTTGTCGAAGAGCAATTAGGTCATAGGAAAACTGGGAAAGAAGCCAAGGAGGAAAATGTTTCTAGGTTTTCTGAAACTGAAAATTAGCATATCTGAAATTCTATTTTATTTAAGCTAAGTCTTAGAATTTAAGTTTACTTCATAGAGGCAAGATAATATGAGAGTCACATCTTGTGGTTTGTTATTATTATAGTGTCCTGTATCTCAGTGTTATATTTTTAGATGTCTCTATTAAATGATGATTCATATTTACCTTTAGCTCCACAATCTCTTCTTTAGTACATGGACATAGGTGATTTCAATTAAGTATTAATATGAGTAGAACTAACCCCATCTCAGCCATGTGGGTTGGTATAATTTATTCATAGTATAGATTAGTGGTTTAGAAAAAGGGCTTGGATGTTTATTACCCAATAAGATGAAGACCCTTATGTGAAACTTCATGTTTCTTGGATCTCCATTAACATTTATTATTATATTATAAAATAATGTTCATGCCTAACTTCATGAGACTCACTTCATGATAACAGTTTCCTTCAATTAATTTTTTTAAAAGCATAGCACAACCTTTATAAGCATAGCTAGTGCTCTAGATGTAGTTCTGGGGTGGAGGTGAGGCAGCTGAAATAGGGTGTGTCTAAGAGGAGAAGTGATAGAAAGGAACTTTAAAAGTCCTGAAATGGATTATTGATATACTATAGATTATCATTGCTTCATACCTCAAGAGCTTCATTCTCTTTAAGTAAATGATGAATATAAATGGAGTATAACTATTTTGGATTTGTCTTTTCACAAACAGTCCCACAGAAATACTGGATGTCAAGGGTCTAGAAACTGGTAGTTCAGCCTTTGCTCCCAGTGAAGTAAGATGCTCTATAAATTCTCTGATGGAAGGTCATCTAGCCTTAGTTTGAACATATCTAACACTTTTTTTCCTAGGTCACTCATATTTTCACTGGCCTGTGACTAAGATTTGTTCCAGTTTCTCTCTTCAGAGCCTTTTGAATGTGTCTGTTCCTGCTGTGTTTTGTCTTTCTGGCCTAATGTCCTCTAATGAAGTCCCTTTTCTATGCCAGAGGTATCTGATACTTTAATCTCCAGGATCTTTTTATATAACCTCTTTCATTGTCCTGATTGTCCCTTCTTATTTCTTCTCTCCATCCAGCTTATCCCAGAAGTTACTT